AGTGCCCATCGTTATTATTATATACGATATTAACTTTGAAATGTATATTTGCCTTCTAATTATTTTGAAGCCAAAATATTATTTTTATAATATCAGTGCATTTGCAAAAGTACTACAAAATAGAAATCTCTTTGATTTTTATTGGATCCATCAGTTTATTGTTTCTCCCATAAAATTCTTAGCACTTGCTTTTTTAATCCAAAATGGGATCAATTATTTTTTGTGACAGATTTTATAGGTTTTAAATAATAGTTATGACATTTTTGTCCTTTCTAATATTTGGTCTTAGAATATATATCCCTATTATGAAAATACTGAGATATATACTGAGATATGTATATATATATTATATATATATATACAATTAATATTGAATAGCAAATGGTTCTATATTAACTCTATTTTTATACCTCAGTATGACATTATGTTGTTTGGCGATATTCACTAACTTATTTAGACTTTCATTTTCCTTTGGTTTTAGTTCCAAAATTTTTTGCGATAATAAGTCAAAATGCAGACAGAGTATAGATACAACGCTTACAAGACAAATATCGCAGGATAATGTTGATATTACCATCAGAAAATCTGTGCAAGACTCTAAAATGAAATAGATGATGTATTCCAAAAAGCTTTCGTTTAGAGGTACTGGAAAGACAGTAGGCATTTGCATTAAATATAAATATTTTCCATTGTGCCACCAATGAACTACTGAAGCGATAACCGATGAAAAATTAAAAATTATGAATGAGGCGATCATAGATAAGCACAGAAATTTTTCTACTTTTATATATAAATTCAAATGTTTTGACAAATTGAATTTCTTCTCCACTTCCTTAGTTGGATGAATTAGATTGATGGTCTCAAAACATTTTGCCATATTTAACCGATTATAGAGCAAAAAAATTATTTTACACAGTGCTAAACTAAAGTAATTGGTGAACATGACAGATACTGTATCCTCGACCAAAGTCTTATCACTCGTTATTAGATAAACGATGACATGCACAAACATCACTGATAATAGCACTAGGATCAAATATGGAATCGCTTCAATGTAACGATTCGTATGCGATCGGGACTGCAACTTAATCCCCAATAGATTTATAAAATAAATTGGCCAACGAAGAAATCTTTCGGAATTATTGACTTTATTATTTTTAATAATTTTTATTTTATTCTGAGTCAACATTTTCCGTAAGTTTTGTGAATTTTGCCGAATTTAGAATAACTTAGAACTTTACTGTTTAATTTTTGAAAATGTTTTATTCTTAAGTACTTGATAAGTGTGCTCTGTGGATTTTTGAAACCACAAAGTTTTCTCAAAAGAAATTTTAAATATTTTTTTTTTGTACAGATTTGAAATCGGGTAGATTTAAGGAATATGGACATATGTTAAATTATATAGTGGGTTAAAAAACTTTTGACTACAAATACCACTACTTATCAAATTAATTTAGTAACATTTCGGGCCTGCCTTGAGTATTAAAAAAACTTGTAAATTATAGGTTCATAAATGGTATATTAAAATTGTATTATCTATTAACCCTTTTTGTCACAGAATATTGTCACAGAATATTAAGTTTTAAATAAAAAATTGTTTAAATTATATGTTTACAATTTTTTACGTTTTATTTTATGTAAACATATAAATGTTACTAATTATATACCGAGTTTTTGCGTCATGTGCAATTTCGTTCTACCGCCTTTCAAAAATATCTCAGAACTATAATTTATATTTTTTTAAAGTGGTTGATTTTATCAGATACTGATGAAACAGTGTTGTTGTTGGGAAACCCGCAATGAAACATGGGAAAAACTTGGTTTTAGAGAGATTTGCTGAAATCTTAGTACTTTTTTCTCATGTATGTATATTTATGCTACAAATTATTTATTCAACAATTATTGTCCTACTTCAATTTTTAGTATAATACATACCTACGTTTCAATTCGCTTTATTCACGCTTACTTTAGATTAATATATTTTTTTAATAGAGAGTTACCATGTTTGAGTTTCAAAAGAAAGTCTGTATATAATACACTTATAATAGATTTTGATAAAATTTTTATTTCAGGATTTTATTTGGTCTTTACAATTAGGTATGCAATACAACCGAATTCAAATATTCTACACGGGGCACATGTAACTATTATCTTTTTCGATAACTTTTCGATAATAGCTCGTCGATAACTAATTTGATAGTTATGTTCAAAGCTTCGAGAATTTAAGAATTAAGAACAGAATTCTT